TCTCTAAGCATATTTATTTTGAAGTGTTAATCCATGAGATGACTGTTGGAAAATCGTTGAAAGTAATAACCTAGGATTTTGTCAGGCCAGATCAATTCTGAGGATGCACATCACTTAAGATGGCAACAGAGTTTCTAATTTCTTTGTAAACTGGAAGGTATGTTCTGTACAAACCACTGGAGTCTGCCTGCTTGCCATATATTAGTTGATTTAATGGGTTGATCTGATCAAATGCAGATTTTCTGTAGACTTCAAAAGAAGCAAAAGTCTTAGGCTTAAGTGACCGATGTATATCATTTGTTATGATTTTCAAAGTCAGTATAGTAGGGGATGAGATGAAGAGCCACCAGACATGTTTTTCAATTTTGAAGCTTGTTTTTGGACCTACAAAATGGTGGGCATGACATTGTCCTGTAAAAGGACTACCCCATCACTGTCAGGACTTTTGGCATTGCGACATCTGAATTAAATTCACGTCCAGTGAGGTCATTATGCCCCTGATATCCAAAGATATTTTTTGTTATTGATTTTATGCCCAAAAGGCATGTTTGGTACGAAATTTATGGTAAGGCTCTGTGACCTTAAGTGGCCCATACTTGGACCTAGATCTCTTATGTGTGTTTTTGTGGGTTTTACTGAACACAACGAATCCTATAGATTTCTGGACTTGGAGTCAAACATTGTAAATGTAAAGTTGGTGAGAGTGAAAACCCTGAGCACTTAGAACCCAGCAGAGGCAAGAGAATCAAGAAGCCAACTATTTTGGTCATGATTCCAATTGTATCTTTTGGAAGAAGATTCTAAAACTTTCAAGAAACCATGTCCTTGTGTGACGCTCCTTTCTGGGGGGAGATAGTCAACAATGAAATGAAATCAATATTGGAAAATGGAAAAAGGATATTGGCATATTTACCTCCTGGTGCTAAGCCCTTAGGATGTAAATGGTTTTGTAAAAAGAAAATAAAGGTGGATGGTACCATTGAAACATATAAAGCAAGACTAGTTAAGAAAGGATTTAAACAAAATGAAGGTGTTGACTTGTTTGATACATATACACCACTTGCTCGTATTAGTACTATTCAAACTCTCAAGTCTTGGCCGCAATATACCATCTAGAGATTCATCAGATGGATGTCAAAAGTGTTTTTCTCCTTGGTGAACTAGATGAATAAATCTATGTTGACAAACTTGAGAGATTTGTCTTTAAGGGACAAGAGCACAAGTTTGCAAACTTATGAAATCCTTATACGGTTCGAAGCAAGCACCCAAGCAATGGCATAAAAATTTGATAGAATTATTTTATCACACAGATTTCATATTGGTGATCTTGATATGTGTGTGTATGCCAACGTTTGTGGTAGTGCAATAGTTATAATTTGCATATATGTAGATGATATGCTCATACTAAGCAGCAATGTTGCATGCATCATGGACACAAAGAACTTATTACTTCTGAATTTAATATGAAAGACATGGTGCTAGCTTATGTGATAGTTGGAATTAAAATAGTGCGACATCCAACTAGGTATGTTTTAACCCAAACCCATTATTTCGAGAAAGTGCTCAAAAGATTTGAATCCAAGCTAGTTTCGACTCCATACGATGCTCACATTAAACTCATAATGAACCATGAAGGCCATGTTTCCCAATTGGACTATGCCAGAGTCATTGGATGTATAATGTATGCAATATCATGTACTAAACCAGATATAGCTTTTGTTGTGGGTAAACTAAGTAAAAATATCGGTACCCAAGTTAAGAGCATTGGAACCAATCTTTAGGGTCCTAAGATATTTGAAAGGAACTATAGAATGTGGGTGATCTACTGTGTCAAAGGTATAGTGATGTTTTCTGGATTTTTATGAATGTATGACTTTCAAAAGTATCTCCACTTGTGATGGGGGTGTATTTTTGGAATTCCAAGAGATAGAATTATATCTCCAACTAATTGGAGAAAATTGCCTTAGAACCCTTTGTGTGAAGGCTAAGTGGTTGAGAAACTTGCTGGTAGACATACCACCTATTCAAGGCACAGACCTTTAGTCTCATACGGTGTGACTGTGAAATGTTGAATACCAAGCGACGGTTAAGGATTTACTTCGATAAATCCAGTTATACTAGCTTGAGGTACAGTCACTTCACTTATGCTTGAAATGGAGTCATAGTTGTACTCCATATTAGCTATACCTGGCACTTGGTAGAATATTTAAAAAAACCTTGCAAGGCGCCAAGTCTGGAAAAGAGCTAGAGGGATGGGACTGAGCCCAAATGAATTTTTGCCACTAGGGCAATGGGAACCTTACTTTGGATAAGGTGATTCCAAGTCCAAGGTTCAAAGGGAATAACAAGTCGCTCGTGTGATGTCTGATCGTTGTAGATACCACAAAATATTATAGTATGAAAATTTAAAAAAATTTCTACCCCATTTCTAGCAATGTGGTACATTTACTGCAATGAATCAAGACGTTGAGCTTGCTCTTAATTATTCCATTTGCCTAGATGATCTAAAGCCTAGGTTGGGTTGTCGCACTGCATGATATCTTCCATGAATTCACCTATATGAGTGTAGAAGTGGAGGCCGCTTCCTATGAGAATTGGGTTCTAGAATGCTCATGAAAACAAGATTAGCGCAAGGTCTTAAAAGCGCAAGCCTTTTAAAAAGCCACATATTTTGAAAGATAATGTCTTTTGAACTTTAACCTTCTGAAGAACACTACGTGAAGGTTCAAGTCCAAAAAACATCTTTACTTATACATTTATCTTTCCTGGTATGTTTATGAGAGAAGTCTAATTGTTTTAAAACTTGTAGGGGATTGTTAATTTTTATTTAAAAATTTTGGAGTTTCAAAATCCTTTTTAATGTTTATATTGGTGATGGTCTATCATGCTCTTTTGAGCATGGACCACCACTTCTTCGTCCCACCCTTTTATATTGTCTTATTTGTTTTTTATTTGTTACTTTGATCATGATGACTTCCCCTCCTTGCCCCCATGGGTCTCTCTCTTTTTAGTTGCCACTTCTCTATCCTCCTTATATTATATTATTTCTCTACTATATAAGTCTTGGGCGTAAGAGAGAGAGAATATGGAGATGTATGAATTTGGAATAGTGAAAGGAGTGAGGTTAATGGCAATTTTCAACAACATTTTGAAGAGAGAGAGTGCTACCTTATGGGTTAGTTTTCAAGCCTAAAAAGAAAACAGTGAGGGCATACTCTCTCTAGTAAGAGAAAAAAATTGATTTGAATCTATGTTCTCACAATCATTCAGGTAACTTTTTTTTTTGTTAAAAATATCTTTTAATTTACTGTGCGAGAAATTTTTTGTGCTTCTTTTTTCCAATCGAAGTGTGTTCTACCGATTGGATGATGTTTTTCTTGTGAGAGAAGTCTCAGTCCGATTGATGATTTTTGTATAATACCAATTGGAAAGACGTATCAATATTTTGCAACTGTGGTATTGTACGAGTCCTATAAGTGTGTAACTCAAGAACTCGGGAATTAGTTTCTAATCTAACTGTATCCAGAGAGTGTACTAGCAGAAACCTGTTTACGCATCGGGATTTTACCGAGACAATGACATTTAACACTTCAAAAATAACGAGAGCATCCCGTGCCTCCAGATCCCCTATTTTTGGATTCCGTGTTTGGGAGTTTATGTCCACCACGATGTTTGGAAAGCTGCAGTGAAGCCCCTTTATAACTAACATTTGCATCCATCTTTAAGATGGATGCTTTATACATCCCGACCGTATTGTAGAAATACGATTCAGCCCGCATGAAACAATTATTCTTGTAGGATTGATCATTTATTTGTATGCACATTAGGGGGAGGAAAGTCCATAGAAAGGGCACTCTACCAAAATCACCATCGAAACGATAGTGACTTGACCATTGACTCTTTCACAACAAATATAATCCAAGTAAACAAATACAAGTTTAAGAACTAATTCTAATCAAAATCACCATCAAGAAAGAAGAGGATGAACAAGGTAAAGGATAAAACCTAACCCAGAAAAGAAAGGCGGCTGGGTCGTTGCACCCTTATATTTAGTTATTATGATGTGGTTTTCAATTCTGCTAACACAACTTACTGACACCTTCAAAAAAAACTAGCCCCTTAATCGATATGAAAAAACGTGTTGGGGCATGTCTTCTCTATTGAATTACCCTAAAATAATAATAATAATAATAATAATAATAATAAATAAATAAATAAACTAACCCTAATGCTAAAAAGGTAAAAAATAAACAGGAAAAGGAGAAGAAATTTAAACAAGAGAAAATACACAATAAGAAACAAATGTAGAAGATCAATCGAAGATCATTTAAAAAAAAGAAAAATTTTGAACTAGCACAAAATTTGATCAAGCGAAGACAAAGAAGCCAATTAAGGGCAGGTGAAAGTAAAACCCAAGTGTGGGAAATGACAACATCCGCAAGGGAAAGGAAATTCTAGAAAAAAATAATTTGGAGTCTTGATGTTGCAATTTCTCTTGTTTGGTTCTTACCAGAATTATGGAATGAGTTAGTTTTAATTTATCATTAAATATTAATCGATGAGATGTTGACATTTGTTGAATAACAATGTGATTTTTAAATGGGATTGTATATAATGAGATTATTTTATCTTTAGTACAAAGAGGTCACAATTACTTGCAACCATCTGATGTGAAATTTGATAGTTTGAGTACATCACAAAGTTCAAAAAAATTTATTTTGAACTTTGAGTTTGGTCAATGAAATAAATGCAACCATCCAACTTTACATGTAATAATCAAGTTTAATTGTGACCACCTTGTACCTAAAGTAAATAGTCTCATTATATACTTTTTCTTTATAAGTATTAGCACAGCATAGTGTCGCTAACTCAATAGATGGTTCAAAACACAAAAATTATTTTTCAATTTTCCTTTATATTACACATTAATTATTCGTGATACTCTCAGCTCCTTATTACACTAATCAATAGCATTCAAAGAGTCCCTTTCAACAAGACCTTGCATAATATTTTCATGCCAATCCCTCTCGCCCTCCGTGTACAAAAAAAATAAATGGTGTCTTTATGGAGTTTATAAAGAGAGAACCTGTCAAGCACTATTCACATTAAGAGAGAGAGAGAGAGAGAGAGAGAAGCTATGAAGCAGTATTTACATTGAGAAGCGGCAGTAGGGTGTTCCCTGCCTCCTCAATCTTTACCTTCTCTCCATGCCTCTTCTTGCACTCAAAGTAGAACACTGTGTACACCATATCCGCATACAACTTCACCAAGCAAGACCCGATAATCAAAACCACACCAACCTCAATTTCACCACTCATTTTTCCTCTTCCTTTCTCAACAACCCTTAAAAGAGAGCTCATAACACCTTCGAGGACCACCAAAACTAGAGAGAGAAAAAACCCTTGCACCCTCCTCCCTTTAATAAGAGCAATGGCCTTCTCCAAAGCCTCAACCCCATAACAATTATCTTCAACTATGGAAACCACCATGGCCAAAGCCCAGACTGTAACCAGATAAATAAGACCTCCAAGGCCCATGAAAATAAAAGCAATTGAAAAACCAGCCATGGCCTTTGAAGGTACAAAGAGAGATAGAACCCCAAAACAAATCATCAAGAGAATAAAATATGACAAACAGAGGAGAAAGATGAAGACCCAAGTGAGAAGTGGCCGCTTCCAAGTTGCGAAAACCCTAGAGAGAAGTTGTTTTTTAGTGAGATGTTTGCCTGCATAAGCGGTGGCAGCTGTGTAGACTGTAGTTGCCAGTGCAAAGAGGGCAGCAATGGAGACTACGAGGAGATAGGCCACCTCAAAAGCTAGTATTAGTTTTACATCCTTTCTGATCTGGGTCATGGTCTCTAGGGCCTCCTTGCTGTTCTTTCTCTCTCCAGAAAGGAGGGTCATGTGAATGAGAAGGTCGACGAGGAGGGGCCGGAGGAGGAGCTGATGAGAGAGAAGCAACAGAGAGAGAGGGAGGATTGAAGAGACTGTGACAAAGAGCATGAGGTTTTTGTTCTTGAGAGGGAGCCTTAGTGCGTCTTTCAGGATTCCTAGCATGCCCAGTGGCTCTGTTTTCTCATCTGCAATTGTTGAGTTCTTCATTATCTCTCTCTCTCTCTCTATCCCCTTTTAATGCTCTCTCTCTCTCTGTCTCTAAAAACACAGCCATTGTTGAATGTATTTATAATGGGGTCCTCCCTTGACTGGTTCTGTAGTCGGAGTGGTAACATAAACGATAGCCCGGCCCGGTTCCCCCGTCCCTAGAAAAGTAAAGCTTGGGCCACAATATGTGGGACGGTGCTACCGGTTGACGCCAGGCCCGGCCCGGACCTCTTGTTTTCTTGTTTGTTCTTTTTTTTTTTTTTCCCTTCCTATGTTCTTGGTTTGGCCCAGCCTGGCCCTCGGGCCTGGGATATGCGGACCAGTGCTGAGCTAAGGCCAGGTATGCCCGCCCTGGCCCACAACCAATCCGTTGCCGCCCTTATTTTTTACGTTATTTTTGCTTTATTAATGGATTATGACAAAGGAATCACAAAGGATCGATTATAACAAAGGAATCACAGAGACAAAAAAGGCGGAGAAACGTTTTGTGTTCTAGTGTAGGTTCCATCTCGACGACTTAGAAGACGATGAACGAGGGACCCGTTCGTTCGTATTAAAAACTTTCAGGTAATTTTCAATGAGATTTCGGCTAGAAAAATCGGGGAACCGTATTAGAATTGGAGCACTACTTTTCATGCTACTGCAGGAGTATACTATACTTATACTTCCTTCAACACACAACATAACAGCGGGGACTACTTCTTTTGAACCCATAAGATATTATGCTCCTGTAGGAGTATATTATTTTTGTACTCTCTCGGATAAAATCCCATCTAAGATTAATTTTAGATCCACCAAGGTTGGGGATGTAACTTCTTCATCCCATTAATAAACTTCAAATTAAAAAAAAAAAAAGAGTAATCATATTTGTGCACTTGAAAGAAATAACATCTCAAGATTAAATAGAAACCGTTCAATTTTTTTAGAGGGTAAGATCTAAGGGTCATAAAACTCAAAATTCAATTTCTTTTGTTGTTTTAGAATAATCATATCGGATTGTCTACAAAGAGACCATTTATCTTTTATACAATGAGGTCACAACCATTTTCACTCATTAGATGTCAAATTTGATGGTTTGGGGTCATGAAGTCTAAAAACATTTTAAGAACTTTGTGTCGATTCAATGACACCATTATTATAATGAGCCATTCTAAAATTTAAGGGACAAGAGTGATTGTGATCTCCTTGTACAAAAGACAAATGGTCTATATGTAAACAATCCCTAATCATCCAGTGATTTTTAATTGGATCCCAAAAATTTAAACTAAAGTAATCCTCCCAAGTAGGCCTCCTAAGTGAGGGAATAGATGCACATTGCGCTCTTATAGAAGCATAGCATACACAATCTTTGTCTAATCTAAAATTTTGGGATCTATTTGAGGCTCATGAGAAGATTATTTTTACAAAAATTGGAATTTTAGTTCTTAAAGACTTAGATCCTTCCCTCCATAATTTAGACTGTTCTTGTTCAATCTTGGGAAGTTAATTTTTAGGAGGTACACAAAAAGTTTTATTTAATTTTTTTCTTTGAAATTGGTTATTAGGTGCTAGAGGTTACATCCTAAAATTTTGGGTCCAACAAGATATCTCAAGGATGAGCTTTAACCCAAAAGAGCAAATTCACATTATGTTCCCACGGTAGCCGCAAATCAGTTAGCATGAGGGATGGTATAAATACTCGTATCATTGAAATTTATGCTTTTATGTTTAGTTTAGAGAAAGTAACAGTATGTTAGCACTTGAGTCTGGCTAGCATGGACAGATGATAATGCCAAAACCAGAGAAAACAACATAACATGATCACCACACAAAGCGAAATGTATCAAAATGAAAAAAGCCAAATTATTTCCTACTCCTTTGGGAGTATACTATCTATTTACTCCTCGAGGCAAATGACATACTAGCTATAGTATTTGGATATCATCTATTTTAAAGATGGATGCAAATAGGTGGTCCATCTAAAAATAATTGAAATCAACAGTCCAAATGTTAGAATTATTATTTTAAATTTTTAAAATTTATGTTTTTTTTTTTATACTCATGATCTTCTTAAAATTTAGGTCCAAAAATCTATCTCAAAAATAGATTTTTTTAGAGTTGATACATGGACTCCTAGGAATCGTGTCCCATAGATAAACTTATTTTCTTCTTATAAAAAGTATATTGTAGAGATCAGTGTAGGTACGGTGATACAAAGTCTCCACTGAATTCATGATTTCCTTTTTTGTGCGAGTGTACTTCGAATAAATAAAAAATGTCTTTTTTTTCAAGGGTATGGTTGTATAGAGCCGAGGCTCTAAACAATCAAAGTAAAATGCACTATCAAGAAATATGATTTCAATATTGAAAATCTTTGTCATAGCCTTAAAACATATTTTCATCTTTAATTATAAAATATAAAGCTTCAAAATTGACACTCCAAATTGTATTGAGCATATCTATGAAACTTGAACATGTTGAAAATTGATGCTCCAAAAATGCATTACAAGGTTCACTATTTTCAAAACTTGAAATTTATTTTTCTCATGTTTGTGCATCTTGATGTCAAGATGATCATAAAGCACATAAAAGTCATTTTGGAGAGAGAGAAGAGAAGTTTTTGCTAGCATTGTCGTGCATTGTATTGTCTTGGATTTGTCAATATTTTTTTGTGGCGACAGATTTGGTCAATGGTATCAAATAAAAGAGTCGATTGATGATGTCATTGTAGTATGAAAGATCAATTTGATGTTTTCTTGCTATTGTGGAGTAACATCTACGAAACCAACAAAATTTATAATTTTCTCTCTTGATAATTAATGCATCATTGTCCATTGTTCATTATCTTTATATATTGTCTATTATATGGGGTGAGCAACATAAATTAGTGTGCTCCTTTGCTCTGCACTTATTTGTATATGTTGGATTATCATTTTACTTTTCCAAATTTATTGCACATATTATTATTTTTGGGCATTTTATTTCTTTGAACCAGCTTGTCGTTGATTGCAATTTGCTTTTGAGTTGTTGGATTTGTTATTGTAGGAAGATCACCACATTATATAGGGATTGTGGTTAGTGAAAGTATATAATGAGAGAGACCATTTATCTTTGGTACAAGGTGGTCACAATAAATCTTGACCATTGGATGTGAAATTGGGTCGCTGCATTTATTTTATTGACTAAGCTCAAAGTTTAAAAGAAATTTTTTCAAACTTTGTGACAAAATCAACGTATTAGATTTCACATCGGATGATTGTAAATAATTGCGACCTCTCTGTACCAAAGGTAAATAGTCTCATTGTATACAATCCCGATTGGTTATCCCGGTTGCCAACAATTTAGAGCTGAAAAAACCGTGGTTGATATTTTGGCTTCGAGTAGTGATTGCAATATCTCATGTTTGGTTGAACTTCGAATTATGGGATTAGTTTAGTTTTCACTGGAAGACTAAATGAGGGTCTTTAAAGTTTATAGCTAAGTCGAGAAGGTTACACTCTCAAAATTTAGGATCCTAAAAAGGGCCCTACATATAATTTCACTTGAGGGAGAAAATCTAAAAAATGCTCCTACAAGAGGGCAGAATCTTTTGAATTTAGATTAAGGACATTAAGTCTTTGACACCTTAGAGAGAGAGATGCAGTTGGCAAAACAAACGTATCTTAGAGGGCGAAATGGAAACTGACAAAAAATTATGCAAGAAGAAAGCACAAATGTAGGGATCCGAAATCTCCACCACACATCGTCAACAAGAGAAGAAAAAAAATAATAAGAGCCATGCTCTCTCTCTCTCTCTACGAATAACCTTTTTTGTTTTTTTTTTTTTTTTTTTAATTTCAACCAAAATCTATAAAAAAAATAAATAACCATTCCCCTTACGATCCCCGGAAAGCTTTCTATATTCCCCTTACAACATAGAAGTTCTATGTTCCCCCTTATCCAACCGTTCATTTTTTAATGGAGGACAAAGATTGTCTCAATCACAATGTCATGTATCTACACTGTTTTATTTTTAATTTTTTTTTCCTATAAATTGTTTTGACACCAAATTTTGGACATCCATTCCTATATTAAACTCACACTAACGAAAAATATATAAAAAAAAATATTTTCAATAAAATAAAATGACCAAAATACCTTGAAAGTTTCAATGGGTATATTGTGACCAAAATACCCCTGAAAGTTTCAAAGGGTATTTTGGTCATTTTTTTATCAAAAAGTATTGTTAATATTTTTTATAGGTGCGCCCCAATGAGAAGATGGCATGTACCAAATTTCATATTGAAAAAAAATTGTATTAAAAAAAACTAAAAATAAAATACTTTGAGATGTCAAACCTAAAATCAAATGGTGAGTGGCTCTTTTGATAAAAAATGGACGGCTGGATGGTAAGGGGAACATAGAACTTCTATGTTGTAGGGAGAACCTAAAAAAAATGTATTTTTTTTCTTTCTTTTTTTTTTACAAAAAAAAAAATGTACTTCTTAAAATATAGACTTTATGAAGCTAAACCAAAAAAATTCCTACTATTCCAATTTCAAAACATGGATCCTAATAAACTAGACATTTAAAATTATGCTCATAAAAACAAAAAAACAAAAAAAAATCAGGTTCCTAAAAATATGATAGTAAAAAACACTAAATCCATCTAATGTTGATCTGAGAGGGAGAGGCATGATAACTAAAAATGTAATACTAAGATTAATTAGTTAAGATAGAGCAAAGCAATAGGAATAGGAACATCCCTAAAGCAAAAGCATAAGGAATCAATAGATTTTTGCAATGTACGTTGAGGAGCATTGCGTGTGGCATACTGGCACGTGGGACAGAAAACAGATTTAAAAAAGGAAGATTAGGGAATTGCTTTGAGAACATGGAAGGAATAAAAAGCAGAGGCTCTCTCTCTCTCTCTCTCTAACATTTAAAGAATAAAGACACATGAAATATCTCTCTCTCTCTCTCTCTAAATGCGCAAGAATCTCAACTTTAAGGCTGTGCTCAACGTATACTTACAAGTAAGAGGTGCATCTTTAAATTTTGCGCAAAGAAGTAGATATGGTGTTGGACACCTCACCTCATTCATAATTTGAAAATTCATGTTCAATTTTAATTATAAAATTTAAAATTTTAAGACGGCACAAATCGAGCATATCTATAGTTTTTTAATGTCATTCAATATATATGAAATTTAATTCTTTGTTTTTTGAGATACTTGAATATCGTTTACTTTTAATTATAGATTTTGAATTATTAAAAATTATTCAAAACTAATATATTGTGATCCCATCTCCTTTAACTTTTTCTTATTATTTTTTATTTGCATTGTGTCTCTCTTGATTCCTCTATTTAAAACAATATTGAAAATCTTTTGGTCGCATTTAGTCTTTTTTTATGGAAATATTATATCTGAATTATTTCCTATGTTCATGCTTTTTAAATAAATTTTTTATGTAAATATTATATCTGAATTATTTCTTATATTCATGCTTTTAAAATAAATTTTATACCTCTTAAGTTAATGCAATAGAAAAAACACAACTTATTGAAAATGGCCCTCCCTCATTATTAAGCATAATTTATCTCTCACATCCAAGTGTCATTATTTCCCATGCTCAACAAAAATCCCCAACCCAATAAAACAATATACATATTTTTATTTATAATAATTTATCCATCTCATTTAAGTTACTATTTTTTATGTCTATTTTTAATAAAAAAACTTGTGGGTTAAATAAAAAAGTGTGTTAATCTGACCTCTCACCCCTACATCTGTCACTCTCTTTTTCTTTTCTTTATCACTCTTTTTTCCTTAAATCTCCCTCGCCTCTCTTATTCCATATCAACTTAAATTTCTCTCCCCTCTCTTATTCTTGATCAACTTAAATCTCTCTCCCTTCTTTTATTCTTGAGCAATATATATAAATTCTTATGACTCCTATGTTTATAATGAGGTTAATGCTTCTTGCGTTAAGGGACTAATATATTAGATATAGGTATTAATAGAATCTAATGTATTAAACTAATATATAGCAAACCCAATATAAATCTTTTTATTAGTTTTATTTATTTAATTTAAGTCATTTTCATTATTTCAATTGTATGTTAAATGGATCCATGTTAATTAATAATATATTAAAAATATTTTTTACTATCACATTTATTATAAATTAATAAAATATTCAATTGTGAAAATAAATGCATTAAATTCTCTCTTTAATATAGCATGTTTTATTGAAATTTTTTCAATGATTAATATATTTTAAGTGATTAATATTAAATATCATGTGCAATACATGTATATCTTCTATGCGGTAGGAAAAGTATATAAACAAATATTACAAAGTTGGAAAAAAAAAAAATTTTGATCTAATGATCAAGATTAATTGTGACCTTCATATACCAAAGATAAATTGTATACGATTTCAATATTAGTGCCATTTTCGAAGCTAGAAAGAGAAGCATTAGAGAAAATAGAAAGAGAGCTTGGATGATGGATGAGAGAGAGAGATTGAATATTGCTTTCACAAGATAATGTTAAATAGAAGAACTCTCAAATTCCATCAACTTTCTCTCTACCCAAACATTTCCTGCACTCGAAGTAGAATACCGTGTTTATCAAGTACCCCACTAAAACCACAAAGCAAAACATCAAAACCAGAAAGACACCATCCACAAAACCACCCTTTCTCTCCATAAAAACGTAACCAATACCACCCGTTAAAACCACCTGTAACCCCCCCAAAAGCCACCCGCAAAACCACCTGCCACCCATCAAATCAAAAGCTGTTTTCAGAGCATCCATTCCTTCTCTCTCTTCCACGACCGAAACCACCATTCCCATGCTCAAAACTGCCGCCCCATAAAACCAGAGAACCCTAAAACAGCTTGTCACCAAAACCACCACCACCCACTTCACCGGAAAAGCATAGCACACATTAACGGCGTTATCATAAAGTAACTTCACAAAGTAAACGTAGAGAGACGTTACGAGGGGCCTCTTCCACGTTTTCTTAACGGCCGTTATGGCCGACTCCAATGTGGGTGTTTTTCCGTTATGGGCGATGAAGGCGGATCGGACCACCGTTATCGTTGAGGAGAGAGAGAGGATATAAGACGGTAAGAAGTAGATAAATTTTAGAGAGAGAAGCTTGAGAGAGTCGGATCTTATCTCCCTGATAACGTGGCGCGTTATAGCGCTCGGTGCGAGCCATGCAACGAGAGCTTGTTTACGAGAGATTTCGGTGGCCAGAGGGCGGGTAGAGAGAGAAAGTGAGAAGAGGAGGAGAGAGAGAGGGAGGATAGTTAGGGCCGTGATGGTGATGAGGAGGGTGAAGTTTTTTGCAAGGATTTTGAGGGATTTTGCAATGATTTTGGACGAGCTTTGAGCCTGTGTTTCCACTTGTATTTCGTCCATCTCTCTCTACAAATTGGTCCATCACAAGCAAGCTTTTCTCTCTCTAGTTATAGTAGATCCATCTCTCTATCACTTTCTCTCTCTAGATCTCTTTCTCTCTCTCTTTTTCTTTTTCTCTCCCTAAAATGCTGGTCTCTCTCTCTCTCTAGAATTTGGTAGTTCACAAGCAAGCTTCTCTGTCTCTAATCTAGCTAGAGTACATCCATCTCGCTAACACTTTCTCTCTCTAGATCTCTTTCTCTTTTTCTCTCTCTAAAATGCCTTCCCACTGTGTTTTCGATACGGAAGATAGGAAGGAGAAGTCCAACTGCCATATTCGTGCTCTTTTGAGCTGGACAGCTCAAGTTCTTTAACAACCCATGCCAGAAGATTATATGCTCCCGCGGGAGCATTTATTCATTCATTAGAAATAGAATCCGATTTAGGAAGATTTTGGATGTAACCTCCTCAACTAGTAAACAACTCTCAAAACAAAAACAATAATATATACTAGTAGGATTACGGTGTTGCATGTAAAAATATAAAAGAGATAGGAGAAAAAAAGGAATATACAGAAAAATTAAGTCATAATATTGAAAAAGAAATACATGACTATATCAAAGCACTAAAAATTAAATAAAAAATAAAAAAAAAACTCATAGAATGCATGATATCTTTATTTATTATTAGATATTGACGTTATAAGAGTTCTTTATATAAAGGGTTCGGTTTGTACGGATCCGAGGCTCTAACAGTCAAATTAGAGCCCACCTCCAGAAATATGGTTTTCATCATAGCCTTAAAATATATTTTCATCTTTAATTATAAAATTTAAAGCTTCAAAAATAGTGTATATCGGGTAGATCTATAAAAACTTGAAAATCTTAAAAAATTAACGATTCAAACATGCTTTACAAAATGCACTATTTTCAAAACTTAAAATCCATTTGTCCATGCCTCTTGATGTCGAGATAATCAAGTTGATGATATTTGGGCATCAAAACAACTTCTTCTAATGAAAGTTTTGATGTAGGCTCTAATTTGATTGCTTAGATCCTAGGTTTTATATAAACTTTTCCCTTATATAAAAGTAATAAAACACTCGATACCTATTACTTATAAATTTTGTGAAGCATTTAGGAATGCATTATAAGAATTTGTAAAAGTGGCCGTAAACTCACGCACAATAAATTTACTCTGAAAAGAGAATTTCAATTTTTAGATTTCAAAACTCATTAACAAACATGTTAGTAGAAAATCTTTCACAACAATTTCTAGTGTAAATTTAAAATTAGAAAGTTTTCAAAATATACTGGAAATAGAAACCAAAAGGAATATATATGTTATAATATTTAAAAAGTAATTTAAAAATCTTATACGTCAAATGTAAAAAATGAACGTTGCCTATATTCGAGGTCAAGATAACATACTTTTTAAAAAACATTTAAAATTTGTGACAATTAAAAGTGCTTTGCGAAAGTTTGGTAAAATCTTGGAATGTTATGCACCAAATTTTGTCTATAATTTTATTGAGTTACATAAGGAAATAATCAAAGAAACCACTTCAAATAAAAATCAAAAGTTCTAAGAAATTTATCTCTCTAGACAAACAATGGTTAAAAAAAAACGAAAAAAACAAAAAACAAAACCCTCTCGCCTAGCCTTATCATATAAATGTCCCATAAAGTAGTGAGCACGTAAACTTCCTATAAATAGGGCTTCTAATTTGAAAAAATTTAAATTTGAATTCAAATTCAAGTATCCTGGAGACAACACACCTATCTCTTTCATAGGGGAACTCATAGATAGAGATCTCAAAAGATTTTCAAAAAGATGGACATATTTCTCTACAACCAATATAGAGATCACAAAAGAATGATATACATATATCATTTTTTAAGGAATAATATCATAATGATAAGTAGAACTATAAATAAAAAAAGATGAAGGAGGAAGGATCGTGATATATAGTTCCTAAAAGAGGATAGTGAGAAAGAGAGAGAGGATCATGGCTCGTGAAAGAGAATTAGAAAAAATCCTTTTAAAGATGGTATCATTTGAATATTTTTTAGATTTTTTTTAGAATGTATTATTTTCAGCTTTCTTCTCCCTTCCCCTAAAGATAACTACGGTCCTCTCTCTCTCCCCACCTCTCTTAGCCTTTCTTGTTAAAATAGGGAAAGTTTTCTATACTTCCCCTACTGCATAGAAGATCTATGCTCCCCCTACCATCCAGCTGTCCAATTTTGATCAACAGAGTCACTCACCGTTTGATCTAAGTCTCAAAGTATTTTATTTTTAGTTTTTTTTTATACAAATTGTGTGAATATGAAATTTGGTACATACCATCTTCTCATTATAACGCACTTATAAAAAATATTAAAAATAATTTTTTGATAAAATATAATGACTAAAATACCCCTTGAAACTTTTAAGGATATTTTGGTCATTTTTATTTTATCGAAAATATTTTTTTATATTTTTCGTTAGTACAAGTCTAATAAATGATTGGACGTCCAAAATTTGGCAGCAAAATAATTTATAGAAAAAAATTAAAAATAAAACAATATAGAGACGTGGCATTATGATTGAGACAATCGTAGCCCTCCATTCAAAATGGAGGGTTGGATAAGAGGAAGTATATAAGCTTTATGCTGTAGGGGAAGCATAGAAAGCTTGCCCCCTAAAATAAGGATGTACACCTTTTTGTCTCTCTACCCCCGAAATGTAGGTATCTATAGCATTAGGATCCCTTATTATTTTTGCGATATGTGTAATAGGTAGATACAGAAAAATAATATCATTAGATTTGAACAAATTTGAACAATCACATCAAAGTATTCAAGACGCAAAAAAAAAAAGAATTTTTTTCTTTGAAAATACTCATATGCTAATAATAGAGTGGATCCTAAGTTGAATATGGAACAAGTCCTGCAGTAGTTTTTTTGCCCAATGAACTAAAGCCCTATTTAGATGACAAGTAATTTTATCTGAAAAAATTTATCTTATCTAAAATTAATATAATTTAATAATATTATATGGATTATATTGTTAATTGTCTTATACATACCTAGTGCTATGTATGATATTATCAAATTATTTATCTTTTTGGTAATATTTTGGCTACTTTTATGTATTTCTAGTTATTAACAAGTGACTTTAAACAAGTTTAGGTAACTAAAGTTTATCCCAGATAACCTACTTTATATAATCGATACTATGAAGTAATAGAAACGCTAGCTTTCTATGCTGCCCCTGCAGCATAGAAGTTCTATCCTCCATCTTATCCAACTGTCCATTCTAAATGGAGGGTTAAACTTGCCCCAATCCCAATGTCATGTCTCTCCACTATTTTATTTTTAATTTTTTTCTATAAATTATTTTGACTCCAAATTTTCAATGTCCATTCCTCTATTAAACTCACACTAGCGAAAAAAATTAAAAAAAATATTTTACAATAAAATAAAATAACCAAAATACCCTTAAAATTTTACAAAGGTAATTTGTCATTATATTTATCTAATTTATTTTA